CTTGGCATTCATGTACAAAATCATTGGCCATAGATATATGGGAGGTGGATACTTTTGACTGTGAGAACTTTGTCAAGTCACTTAATTTTGAGTTTTTATTTTTCACCTATATAAGATGAAGAATATCCTCCTTTTTTCAGAGTCATCAGGATTAAATAGATTATATATGGAGACTGTCAGTCATAGTACCTGGCACACAGTAGTTTCCCCAGTAAATGTTAATTCTTCCCTTGCTGCAAGAAATAGAGGCAGGGTAAGCAGTGTAATAGCTATCACCTCTATTCCTTATCCTTCCTTCTGTCTCCAGGATACAGGAGACCTAGACATAGAACTCTCTATTTTTGCTGAGTATATGCTTATATCCCTGGATAAACATGCTGAGGGGGGAGGTCACAGTAGGCTGAAGAAACACTTAGCTAGAAATACAGGTAAGCAAAGGAAGTAGTTGTCATTCTTTAATAATTCAATCAACATGCTGACTTTGCCTGAATCTGTTTAAGATTCTGGAGTTACGAAGGCAAAAGAGGTTTACAGAGCTCTCAGTCTAGAGGGAGAGACTGATGGGTTATTATAAAGCAGCATAACAAGTTCTGAGATAGAATGAAGCAGAGATTGCTGTGAGAATATGCAAGAAGAAAATAATTTTAGCTAGAGGATTCAAGGAAGTCTTCTGCAGAAAAGTGACACTTGACCTAAGTATTAAATGATTCACAGAAAGGAGTATGGAGGTGGACCAAAGGGAAAGTGTTAACAGTATACAAAGCTTTGAAGGCATGAACATATGTTCTGTGTTCTAGGAGATGTAAAATATTCTAAGGTGTTTGAAATATGGGAGAGAGCTAAGAGGTGCTATGAGAAAATGGTTTGACTTTATTTAGATGGCCACTGGGAGCTGTTAATGAGGCTTAAACAAGGAAGTGACATGGTCAGATGTGTATTTTAGAGATTTACAGGGAGACCAGTATGTGGAAAATGAAGGGAAGAAGGTATGGGAAGAAGGTAATGCTAGAGGCAGGAAGAAGAGTTGGTAAGAGATGTATCAGTGAGGAAGGAGGATGGAGAGGAGGTGGGCTGTTAGTGTATTCATGGCAGATCAGATATGGGAGTGTGGGAGAGGAGGGAGGAACAAAGTTAGAGAAGAAAAAATGATGTTTGTTTTGGCAGATGGATACAGATGGAATTACCTAGTAGACAGTCTGTGTGTTGTGCAGGAATATTGGCCGGTATAAAAAAGAATACATTGTTGCCTGGCCTGCAAAAGGGAGAAGTGAATTTTATTTGTTTTGCTCTTGACAATTAAAATATTAATAAATTTTATTTTCATACCAAAATTATAAAGAAAAAAATTAAAATCTGTACTCCTACTACTCTTAAATAACCCCAGTTGAAAGGGAAAGAGGAGAATATATATTGTTAGAAAAAATGAACAGTTCAGAGAAGTGTAAAATGTAAAGTACAGGCTTCCCACCCCATCCCACCACACCCCACCCCACCCCCCAGTCTTCTATTCCCTTAACCACTGTTAACACTTTCTTGTGTTTCCTTCTAGGAAAAAAAACCAAGCATATACCCCCTGGATTCTGTATATCCCCAGAGAGGTCCTGCCACATACTACTTTTAAATGGTCTGTTCTATTGAGTAGATTGACCTTCTCATTACTTTGCCAGACTTCACATCTGTCCTGGTGGGGTGGAGCTGTGAATTCACCGAGGGAAGGGCAGGATCTCCATGTCCCCAGCTCAGGCATGGAAACTGGATTAGCAGTAGGTGCTCAGCAAAGAATAAGTAAATGAGTTGTTGCTGCATCTTGGAAATCTGGTCTTTGCCTGCAGCGCCAATTGGTTAAGTGACTTCTTCAGCAAATATTTTCTGAGTTCTGACTAAGTGTGCAGTGTTCTGTGTGTGTGTCTGTGGTAAGGAGAGAAGGCAAAGGACTCAGTTCCTGGTTCCTGGCCTCACCAAAGGGCAGAACAGGAAAGGCCAGGAATCTTTTTCCAACCCTCCAGCTTTTTGAGGGAGAAACTGAGGTCCAGAATGAGATTCTGATTTACTAAAAGCCACATGGCCTATTGATGCCAAAGCTGGTCCTGGCACTTCAGAAGAGTGAGGGAATGGGGAAGGAGCATCTGGGGGTGCATTGGAGGGGTTGGTGAGCTACTCTGACTCCTTTCTACCCCTTTCTCTCCTGCCATAAAAGTAGCAGAAATCCCCAACTCCAAATCCCTGGATAGAGGCAAAACCTTTGGGGTGCCCTACGCAGCCCATGGCCCTTGGGCTCTGCATGATGGGCGGGACTGGCTGACATACTGTGTCTATGAGAGGCATCATGGCAGGCACAGGAGGAAGAGTGCTGGAGTGGGAGTTAGGAAGCCTGGGTTCCAGAGCCAGTTCTGCCATACCCCACCATACTTCTATGGGCCAGTCACATCTTTTCTCCTCTGAATGTGGAGGTGGGCCTAACAAAATTTCCAAGGTCCTTCCTGCCATTATTGCTCACTAATTGTAAGATGCTATATTTAATCAATGATAGGAAATCAGATTTTAGGATTCTGTAATTCTAATGTCCTGGTTTTTTTAAGAATTCAGGATGCTGCTTGAAGTCTCTTACACTGTGTAGAATCCTATGTTGTGAGACCTGACCTTGCTGTGTAGGAGGAAGGGGCTCCATGAACATTTTTAAATTTGTGACCAAGGCTAGAGAGACCAGACACCTTTCTTCAAAGAGTGAAGAGCCAGGCAGGATTCATGAAGTGGGTCCAGATCACCAACAATGAGGAGTGGGGCAGGCTGACATGAAATATAGACACCATCTCAGAGGCCTGGCTGGAGCCTCTGGTAACTTTAGATAGACCTGACACGGGGAGTTAACCCCATTTTACCCAGGGGGAAACTGAGGTTCGGAGATGGGAACTGAGTCACTGCTTCCAGTTGCCCAGAGGTCTTGTTCTTCCTCTAGTGTTCTTTCTACACATTGGGCAGGACTTGCTGCAACACTGCTGTCTGTGAGGGAAGCTGGACTGCAGGGGAACCAGGTCCCAGGTCCTGAAGGAACTTAGAGCAGTGGACCCAAACACCCTCCTCCCAACCCCCATGGACTGTATGGACTGTAGCCCATCAGGCTCTTGTGTCTGTGGAATTCTCCAGCCCAGGATCTCCTGGGGGCTCGCTAAAAATCGAGGTTCAGGGACCCTGCTCCCAGACAGATTCACAGATTCACTTGGGTATTTTCTAGTTGGGATCTGGATATCTATTTTTGTGTATCCTTTAACTTTGGAAGGAGACACTCTAGTCTGGTTTCTTTTCGGTGAAAAACACCACAGAAACAGAAATTTAAGTTGGGTTGGGGCCCCAACTTCGCTGCTGACCCACTGAGAAATCTGTGGGAGCAGGTTGTATGTATTCTGCAAGAAAGCTTTGAAAGCACTTTTACTTCCACTGCCTCCACGTTAGCAGGCTTGGCGGGTCCCATTTGACCAGGAGAAAACTGACGCTGGACGAGGGAAGAAGGGTCTTGTCTCAGCCTCTGGGAGAGGCGAAGAAGAGCCAGGTTGAGTCCGGCTCTCCTGATACCGAATGCCTCTCGCCCCCCTGGCCGGCCCAGCCCCAACTACCGAGCCCAGGCTCTGCAGCCCGCGGCGCCGCCCCGCGGGCCATCCCCGATCGGCAGCGGGCGGAGGGGGGCCCGGGCAGCACCCAGCGCCGCCGGCCGCCGCCTGTCAAACCCTCCAGCCTGCCTCGCGCGCCGCTGGCCCTGGCCCGCAGCCGCGGAGGCCCCGCCCTCGCGCCGCGATTGGCTTCGGCGGGGCGGCCGCAGCGAGTTAGTGGCTGGAGAGGCTGTCAGGCAGGCCGAGGCCCCGCCCCCACCCCGGGATGCCTCCCCGCTGGCCGCTGCGGCTGCGGGGGCTGCCGCGCCAGTGGAGGCGCGCCGAGCCGTGGGCCCCGCGAGCGAGCTGCGGCAGCCGCTGCGAGGTGAGTGGGGGCGAGGTGAGAGGGGGTGCGGCCCGCGGCCCGGGAAAGAGGAGGGCGCCCGGCCGACAGCCAAGGCTGGTGTCCCAGGAACGGTGAACTGGGGAGTTTTGGGATCGCGCGGGGAGCACGAGGGGAAAGGAGAGTTTGGGGCCCGGGTCCGTTTTCCAGGAGGGATGATGGAAGGCCCAAGGCTCTGTGGAGGGGCACCCAGCGCGCGCGCATGGTGAGCGTGAGACTGTTTAGCTACTAGTGTTGCTGAGAGTCTGAGCTGGTGCATGAAGATAGAATGTATGGCACGTCTTGTCCCCGAGTGTGCACTTGCGGGGTGTGTTTGGTGTGCGTGAGAGCGGGCGTGCATGGGTTGTCGACTTTTTGCAGGTTTGCACGCGCGATCGGTTCGTTTTCTCCGCTGCGCGTGGGGGTGTGCGTCTCGGTGCGTGTAGGGGTTCACGTTGCGGGAGTGAGCACACACCCTCCGACTCCCATTTTCGCAGCTTGTGTGGTGATGGTATCTCAGAGGGTCTGCCCGCGGGCCTGCGGGTGAGTAGTCAGCTGTCCCTGTGCTCAGCCGGATCCCAGAGCGCCCACGAGGCGAGGTGTGCAGCCCGTGACCCATTCTGAGCAGTCTCCGCGGCTCTGCCAGTACCCTGCTCCGGGAATCTCTGCCGTCAGCTGCGTGTCCCACTGGGTGACGTGCACAGGCGCTCTCACTTCTCCAGGCCTCAGTTTCCCCATTCGTCCAAAGAGGACTGGAGGGGGGCAGATTGGGTAGCTGGGCCCTCCACGAGTCAGGGAAGGACACGCTAGATGTTCCTGCGCCCTGGAGGGGACTTTTCCGCGGATCAGGTAGGTTTGTCACGTTAGGGTGAGTGTGGTGGCGCTGAGGAGGAATAAACGGAGGGATGGTGACCTGCTCAAACATCATCCCCTGGACCAGAAGGGGATAGCTCCGCTCATTCTGACGCGCCTGTGCTTTCTCCCCTCCGCAGAAGCCCGGCGCGACCCCCAGCAGTGCGCCCCGCCCCGGCGCCATGCACTGCGAAGTGGCGGAGGCGCACTCAGAGAAGAGGCCGAAGGAGGCCCCCGGCGCTCCAGGTCCCGGCCGGGGGCCCGTTGGCCTCGGCCCGCACATGGCCTTCAGGGTCACCGTGAGCGGCGGGGGCTGCGGGGATGGGGGTCCGCGTGACTTGCTGCCCCGGCCTCCCGCGCCACCGCGCGCCCACGACCTCCTTCGGCCTCGGAGTCCCCGAGACTACGGTCCGTCCAAGGCCTCCGCCGCTGCCGCCGGGAAGGGTGAGTATGGCCCCGCCGTCGTGCTTGGCCACCGGCGTGGGGAGATTCGGGTCGTCTGATTCCACCGCAGGCCTTTGTAGGAATCTTCCCAAGCACTTGGTAGAACTTTCTCCAGAGTTCGTCAGTTTTCTCGCAAGTTGTTTGGGACTCGCTTGTCATTCTGAAACGGTGACTGTTTAGGAAGCACCTAATTTAAACTCAGTAAGCCTATTTGGGGGGGTGGGGGGTGGGGAATGTGTGTTTAGAAAGCTCAGATTACATAATTTTGCTTCTGTATGTTTCTGATAAAAGTTGTGTGAAATTTGTCAAAACCTTATTATAAATTAGGATGAGTGGCAACTCGAGTATGTCTGTCTCTGAACCTGCTAACAGCATACTTTGAAGTATTCCAGTCTTCCTCAGTAACAAAAACCAGAAGCCTTCAGCCAGACCCCTCCCCTGTTGGGACCTCAGTTTCCCGATCTGTCAAGTAAGGAATTAATTATACCAGATGATTTCTGGATTCCTGATGGAAAATTTTATGAATCTGTAGTCTCGCCTGAGTGAAGTCCTGACTTTAACAATGGCTGTTATGTACTTGATGCTTCAGAGGCATAGTCTTTGGTCAAAAGTTAGTTTGTAATACCCTTCCTGTACCCAATGAGGCTGGTGGGTATAAGGTGCAGGCTCCAGTATAATTAATGGGTCAAAGTCAGTGATGAGGCTGGATTCTCATGAACACGTTCTTCTCATCACAGTTAATGATTATTGAGCCATTATTTATAAGTTTCACACTGACAGATAATTAACCAGAAATTGGGGAAATTGTTGAGGCACTATATCTTTCCCCTCATCTACTTTTTTTCACTGGGAAAAAGCAAAGCTTTGGTTTTTCATTATTTCATTGTTTGGGACCTCTTGGTTCTATTTCTAGTTGATTCTTAAGGAAGACAAAAAGTTTGTTTTATGGCTCTTATAGGCATCATTACTTTAGCATCAATTGGCAACTTAGAAATGGTAGGGTGGCTTACTTTTAGGGATGAGAGCTCCTTTAGGGTAAAAAAATAAAACCTCTCTAATTCAAAGACTGGTAAAGTGAAATAAATATAAATACTTTCTGCTTTTTAATGAAAATACCTGACTTTGTAGGAGAGCACTATTTCTTGTCTGTTGTTTTAAATTCAGTCTCTTCTCCAAGAGATAGAGGTCATTTTTAAAGGATATAGAGGAAAACCCTTTAATGTATTATTGTTGGAATACACACATGAGGTTCCCTTTTACTAGGAAGAGAGGAGGGCTGTGCAGCAAGACATGAGTAATATTTGCAACCCCAAGCTCGCTCCCTCACTTGCCCCCCTCCTGTAGACAATCCTCCCTTAAATAGATACCCTCTTGCAACATTTTGTGTTTTTAAAAAAACAGCTGTCAACTGAAGATCTCAGTTCTCTGCAGACCTAATAAATTGCTCTCCCAAACATAGCCTTTGTTCCAAGCTCTGGTTAGAGACCTTTCATGTGGATGCATTCGTTGTGTACAACTTTCTGACGTCCAAAGTTGTGGTTAGAGACCTTTCATGTGTATGCATTAGTTGTGTACAATCTTCTGACGTCCATTCTCCTAAACCCCAATTATTTTTATCTGTATGCCCCCAATGTCTAAAATATGAGATCTTTAAATCAGGATTGTGTTTGGAAAGGGCAGAGATGGGTAAAAGAATGGGGGGAAGCACCTCTTTCTTTGTACCTTAAGATGGTTATACTGATTAAGCTTTTTTTTTTCTGATTAAGCTTTTTGTAAGAGGCTTCTGTTTTCTTCATAGCCTCCAGTGAGGATGGTGGGGTCAGATTTGTCATACCCATTTGAAAGATGAGGAAACTGAGGCCTGCTGGGTGGGGGTCTCTGTCCAGCCCCTAGGTTATGGACCTAGGCTTGAAGTGGCTTCCAACTTGGCTTCTGTCTTTCTAGGCAAATTTTTTCCCTGTAGTCAAGCTGCACAGTGGCCTGAGAGAAAATCAGAGCTGGGCAACCTTCTCAAAGAGGCCATAAAAGAAACCTTCTTGCTGCCCCCATTCCTACCCAGATACTCCCTAGACCTCATAACCCTTTGAATATTTGGTGTCTAGCTCCAAGTCTCAGGCTTACTGGAAACAGAAGACAAGAATACCAACTGAAAAATATTTATTGACCGTGCTGGAAATTGTAAGACCCTGCCACCTAGGATCTGTGGAACTGGGGGAAGTTATTTCCTTCTCTGAGCCTTAGTTTCCTCATTTGTAAATCTACCGTGAGACAGAAATACTGAGGAGAGTACTAGTGATCTATGGTGTCAAAGGGCCACCTCAGTGCCTGGTTATTTTGGAGACGGCTCTTGTGATGTGTTTAACCTTCTCAACCGCTGGTTTTTCATTTGCATGAGAGGTAATGATGCTTCCTTCCCAAGGGAAAATGAAACAGTTGTAAGAATATAAACTAAAAAGGAAGAAGGGTTCACATTTATTAATTCGTGTAGGGCACCGTTATGGTCAGCTGTATTTGAGACAAAGAGGGTGGGGCGAGAAGGGAGAAAGGTTTGTTGTTTTTTAATTGTTGACTTTCACGACTTTTAACTGGTGTCCTAGCCAGAGGAAGCTGAGAGGAGCCAAGCTTCAGGTCTTTTGTGGCCAGTGCTGCCCGGTGACGGGAGAGACGACACTATTGCTTGGTTTGGAATCAGGTTTCAGATGCTCTGCCTTCTTGTTTCCCGGACAGACCCTAAACTGAGGCGGGGCGTGAGCTCTCAAACCCAGCAGCTTATCCATAAATGTCAGGGTCCTCTGGATTTTCAGATCTGGAGTTAGGAGGCACTGGGGATGGTGCAACGTCATGGACTAACATTGTCATCATTTACAATAAGAATCACAATCTGTTTATGGCAGAATCCCGTTTATCCAGATTCCAAACAGCTGAAAAGGCCAAATTACCAGATGCTGCGCTTTTTCTTTCTTTTTATTAAACACCCAACACTCTGCTTGTGGAAGTTCTGACAAGGAAAGAAGGTAAACATCTGGACTTTATGGCGGTGGTCCGCTTTGTGGCGCTGCCTCGGCGAAGCTCGTTCTCTGCACGGTGCTCTACGGTTTTCAGCGTGTGTCCTGCACACGTTCTTTCATCAGCCTTCACGCCAGCTGAGCTCTGCCTTCCTCGTGGGCTGTTCCGAGGGGACAGATGTAAAAGCTCTTTGCAGTTTGTATCTGCAGGCAGATCCTGGCTCTTACTACTGTGATTCCCATTTTATAGATGAAGACATTAAGGTTCAAGGATGTGCTTAAGGCTACAGACAGTAAGTGGCAGTTTCTAAGGCTTCCCATTCCACAACTAGTGCCTTCTATGTGTGTGTGTTGGTGGCCGAGAGCTGGCGTTCATGACGGCTTCCCAAACGTTCCCAGAGAATTTAAACTATTTTTGCTGTTGGTATTTCTTCTGTCTCGAATCTTCGGAATTTGGTAACGAGTATCTGTGCCATCTTTAGAAAACTTCTTAGTTTACCAAATGATTCTGTTTGACCAGAATTGCTGCTCTCAGACCAAACCAGATAATGAGCTTACTATTTAATTCTCAGCAACTCACTGGACCCTTTTCACTGTGTGCTGAGACTGGACACATCCTAGCAAATAAAAAGGAGGCTGATGATCTTGACAAATGTGGACCCTGTTGTTTGTCAACAGCCATCATACTGTGGCTAAAAATTCCCAAAGTAGTCAATCTTATAACTGAAAGAAAAAGTATATGTATTTTTTCTTTAAAAATGAAAACAAAGAAGGAATGCAGTTGTAGGTTGTGTGCAGGCGCATTAAGGACTGGAGGTGGAGAGTAAGACATGACGGTTTTGGTTGGCATTACCTCGTAGAGTTTCTTCATTTGAATCAGAAGCCACTGTGATGTTCTGGGGAGGTTTTGGAGAGGCCAGCGCATCCATAATAGAAAGGTATGAGTTATTTTGAAAGCATTTACCCCCTCCGGCTCTAGTGGGCAATTTGCTTGCATTTCATCCATTTTAAAGTGCTGGTCCTGTGATCCGGAAATAATCAGATCCAAATTTCTTCAGTGCTTGAGGTTTCAAATAAGGGGGAGAAAAACCTGCTGGCCAAATGTCAGGCTCAGTGAGACAAAGAGAAACATGTATGTGTGTGGGTACACAAATAAGATAGGAACATGTTGCGTCTACAGTCATAAGAATTATGTATCCGACAAATCTTTTATAGACATGTAGCGGAAATACAATTCCCAAAGCTTCCCAAAGAATCTTGGGTGGTTAGAATTTCTCTTCCCTTTCTGCCTCCCAAGCTCTGTAGAAGCGACTGAGACCTGGAGTGCAAAATGGAAAGGGAACCAGTGCATGAGATCGTAACTTAGGCTTCCTTATTGCTGCCTCGTTTACATATAGTGCTCAGCTGGGCTGAGGTCTCAGGACTCTTAGCTGTGGAATTATATCGATAGGCTGTGTTGCGCCACCTCTGATTAAAAAACATGTTTCTTTATATACCATGGTTTTCCTTCACACATCTCCTCCTTCAGAAAAAAACCAAAACTCACCCCATCTTTAAGTTCTTCATCTCTCTGCGTTACAGTTGCGTGAGAAGCTAAGTGAGCCAGCACACTTATTTTTACAGTGCGTTAAAATCCCATTACAGGCATAAGTGCACAATGAATCATTTAAAAAAATATATTCTTATGTTCTTTGTTCTGAATGTTGCATAATTATCATCATTTTCTTCGGTTTTATTTTGTGGAGTTTGGCAACCATCCTAGAAAAGGGGAGAAACTAAAGTTTGGAATGGGGTTTTCCATCCTTTTTTGGATAGGAATAGGAAAAAAAACCAAACAAATAAATACCAACTTTATTTGTAAATGGACCAGTCACTAACTGGGACTTTTGCGTAGGGAAGATAATTTCCCTTCTTTCAATTTTCCTAGAAAATAATTCTCTGTTTTGAGGCTGATACAGTAGTACTTCAACAACTTCACCTTATATCCATGATTAT